GGATGCGGTCATCGACCCACTGGCCCTCGAACACCGCACCGTCCGCGTAGCTAAACGTGCCCTGGCCCTCGCGCTTGCCGAACACGAACTCGCCCTCATACTTCTCGTTGCCTGCACACACAGACCGACCCACCACACGCACACACACATACAACGGCACGTGGGTGGATGCATCAGTGGGTCGGTCCTCTCCCAGCCAGTGTGAGAGACCTACCCTGGTAGATGAGGGTGCCGCGGCCGTGGAAGAGACTGCAATGGCCACACAGAACGACAGAGAGCGTTTTGCGGTGGCCACTGGCGTCTGCTGTGCCTGCCTCACCCGTCCTTGATCTGGCCATGGTACGCGTTCCTAACGGCAGAAGAGGAAAACACGGAGGGCGCAAGAGATGAGGCATTTGGGGTGCGTGTGAGCCGACTGTGTGTGTCCGTGAGCCTTACCCGGCCTCCATCTCGAATCAGCCGAGCCCACGCGAGAGGGGTGCGAGAAAACCTGAAAAAGGCAAAGAAAACGACGAGAGAAGGCAACGATGTGCCGTGGTGAGCGTTCTGCTGCGTCATCTGTGGCACGGCACGGCACAGCATGTGCGCGTGTGCGCCATATCATCATCCACATGTGTGTTCGTGATCCGTTACAGTTCGATTGCGTAGTTTGGCTGTCCTGCTCCTCACACAGCATTCAGACACATCGGCCGGGCACGTCCACGCCCACTTTTGCTAACACAGAGTGCCCATTCGCGATCCAAGTACTGTTTGACAGGACCCCGCAACCCTTTGAGTTTTCCGATCTGAAAACGAAAGTCTTGGCGGCAACTCGTTGGCGAGTACGGCGACTCAGCTGGCTCCCATCGCTGCTCAGACGCATCAAGCGCAGCGGCCCGGCCTTCAAACAACTTTCTGAGCCCCCAATCAAGCTCAACGGCCGTTGTGAATCGGAGCAGGATGATTATCTCAGCAGTATCACGGAAGGCCCGAAAGGCCGAGTGTCAGGAGAGGCGCAGCAAGTTGAAGTCCTCGACACGGACACAGGCCGACAACAACGAGGAGATCGATGACAAAGAGGCAATAGTTAGCGAAGAGGATGACCCGAGCTTTCCAAGACGGCAGACGGAGCCGCAGAGGAGAGCCTCGGAGGGTTCCCTGCCTGGCTCGGCAATACCGCAAGTCAGCAGGAGCCAGGGGCCGTCCCTAAGGAACAATCTGGACAAAGAGTCGGCGTGGAAGGCTGACAAGAGGCACGATGATGACTCCGGCCCCTTCGTGGGTATGCCAGCTTTGCCTGGAGCCACAGTCGACAAGGTTTCTATGGTGCCGGCCCTCCCTCCGCTGCCCAATGCTGGCAACAGGAGGAGACAGTCCACTTGCATTTCTTCTATGAGCAAGCTGCAGGGGCGGCGCATATCCGTCGAGCTATCTCGCGAACACCGAGAGATGCATGCCCGCAAAGAGCAGCACAGTGCTCGCGAAGCTGTCTCGCCGGCGGCCCGCCCACTCTCGAAGCGAAACAAAACCGTCGACGTCTTGGAGCTCGGCTCTTCTCCGCGAGACGTCCTTCTCGAGAGGACGTCTCCGGCGATATCGAGCCTCCACCCATTCCCAGCATCGAAGTCCATCGCGACTGCGTCAGGACTGAAGAAGAGTACTTCAGGACCCCAGCAGAAGACAAGGAGCCTCCCGGACCGAGACGGAAACGCTGGTCCGCCAGTGGCCGTGCGAGCGTTGTCGGCATATCTCAATCCGAGGCGGTTGTGATCCCCATTCGGGCGGCAGCCAGGTCGAGGCGTTCCGGCTCTGTGGCGGCGAGCATCCGGGGTGTGTTTGGCGGCAATATGCCCGCTGCAGGCCATGCAGACAAGGATGGCCGGGGACAGAGGCGAAAGAGCTCGGTCTTCACGTTCCTTATTGGGCGGCTGGGGCTGCAAACACTCAGGGCATGAGCAAGGCCGAGATATCCATGAAGAGGTGAGAAGGAGGTGACTGGCTGGCCGATGAATAGATGGATGCTTTTTCTCCGTTCTGCGTGGCATGCGTTGCCCACGAGTGCAGTGTGGTGAACATCGTGAAGCAGATTGAGAGTCAAGTGACGATGCGGTCCATCGCCGAGGCGAAATCCGGCAACTACTGCGCCAGGCTCTTCTACACATTCTTCACGTACGTATACCTACGTCCATGTGTAGCACACCAGCAACCATCCACCATCCGTGTCTCTCTGCATCAGGCGGTTTGACCCTTGGCTGGAAGAAGAATATCAAGGTGGATCGATCACCGCATTGTCATGGCTTGCCGCCCTTGTCTCATTTGGCCTGTCTGTGCATCTCTGTCTTGGGTTCCGTCAGACTATAAGAATGACTACACCCGCTACATTCTGTCGATCTTCCTGCTGGTGTTCCTATTGCTCTTCCCTGTACGCATGAATGCACACAGACCGGCACAGCCAACTGAGCTCTCTCCCCCCCCCCCCCTCTCTCTCTCTCTCTCTCATGACTCTGCCCGTGTGTGTGCACAGGTGATCAATCTCTACCGTTATTTTTTCGTCGCGGGCATCACGGAACGTGTGCTGCTATTTTTCCTCATCTTTGAGGTGCCAAGTCGGCCGATGTGCTACACTGTGCTGTCTGCAATGCTAGTGGATGGGTGCAGATCTTCATCTTTTGTCTGAGCCTGACCTTTACATTGCTCACGTCAACCTTCCCCTACCTGCAGAGGTACGTCGACCTCTTCGTCATCGCCATCGCCGCCGCATTCACCACCTACTCATCATTCACTCGCTCACGGGTTAACGTCCTATTCGAGTACGCGGGTCACACGAGCGTCGAGGACATCAGGTGCGTGCCCAGTGGGGGCGCGCCGAGCGAAGAGGTGGCGAGCATATGCGAGGTGTTTCTCACCATTGTGGCCACGGGCGTGCTGGTGCCTCTCGACCCGCTGCACTACTTCATCTTTTGTCTGTACACTCCATCGGTGTACACGATCCTGTGCGAGGTGCTGGGGCACATGCTCTTCACCAACGAGGAGCTGCTCGACCTCCCAAAGGACAGCAGCCTTCAGGGGGGCATGGGATTGCCCTGCTCTACCAAACTCCTGCCGATACTCCTCGTCACATTCCAAATCGTGAGCTGAATGAATCAATGCAATGCACGAACAAAGCCAGCGAGACACGTAGGATGAATGGGGCACGCTCTGTCTGCCGCTCCCTCAGGTGATCGTCGAGTTTTTCTTGCTCGTGAGGCACGGCACGCACGCCCGTCTTTGCATATGTCTCCCAATCCCTGTGTGCTGTATCCTTGCTGTGTGCCGTGTCTGCAGCTGTCAGGGCGCCGCAACGACATCGAACGTACTCATGCAGATCACATGCGTTCAGGGCATTTAGCTACGGTGAAACTGACAGTGACTCTTATGTCATGTTGATTGCAGGTCATATGCAGTATCTGCAGCTCAAGACGAACAAGTCTCTGATGCGCAACCTCCTGGTGGAGCTTTCCACCAACCAAAAACCGCAACACGAGGCGCTGGGCACGTCGAGGCTAGAAGACACCGTCGGCTCACTGAAAAAGGTACGCAGATGCACACTCAGGCAAACTGCCTTCCGTATGTACGTGGCTGCGTTGGGTGTGTCTATTGCCGTGTGCAGGTGCAGAATGTCATGTCTGCGTTGATCAGCCAGATGGGAGAAGACCCCAAGTACGGGCTGTCCGTCGGATTGTCATGTCTCGCTCCCCCTTTCTCTTCTGTGTCTGTGTGTGTCAGCCACCCGCTGCACGCGTACAGTGAGTTTTTCGACTTCTGCGAGAGCCAGCTCAACATCACCAGCCAGAGCCTCTCTCGCCTCCCCCTCAGAACCGTCTCAAACCTCAACAGAGCCAAAGTGGTCAGTCAAACAAACAATCAATCGATCAAGCAATCATCTAGTGAGCCAGTGCCATGATGCAACACACTTGTGTGTGTCGACGAACAAACAACGCAGGACGTGAATGAGGATTTCGGGCGGTTTCTGGACGAGGTGTACTTCGATGCGGGCATCGAGGGCCGCAAGGCGTCCGTGCCAGCCGCAATCTCTGCACCCATCGTGCCGAAGCGGCGGGAGTCTCGCCTCGGCACCCTCGGCACCACGAGCGACCCAGGGCCGGAACCGCCCTCGCCAGCCCTCCTGCCACGCAACTTGGAGGACAAAGCTCACAAACAGATGGACCTCCTGATTCCCACAACACACACTGCCGCAGCAGTAGCAGTGACACCCGCAGACCAGCTGCAGCAGCAGCATGGGTCATCGCGTGATGAACAAGAGCTGGCCTCCGTCGTCGTGCCCTCGGGCGACAGCGGCTCCGTCGGTCTAGTCCCCAGCTTTTTCGGCGACCGAAGCTCGTCGCGTCACGTCACGGCCGAGATTGACAGCAATTCGGGCAGCACCAACGTCGTGAGCAACCTGATATCGTCCATCAACAGCACCACCAAGGTGGCTATCGACACGACTAAGGCGGCCATCGAGGGGCTGGGCACGTCACTGGGGCTCCGCAGCCGCGCCAGACACGGCTCTACCAACTCAACGAAGACGGCCAGGGAGGCGGCCGTCACGGAACCGTCGCAACGAGAGCACCAGAGGCATGACAGCGACCTGGGGCCCAATACGGCCGCCCTGCCAGTGCCCATCGCTGCTACGGCGGCACACCAAAATTCAGACAGCACCGGCAATATGAATAACAGTGGAGAGGAAGAGGCCGCTGCTCTCGCGGCGAGCAGGTGGGTGAGTGGAGTGGGTAGATCCACGCGACGTGGATGTGGGATATTGTTCATCTGTCTTGCACTTCTATCCAGAATGGTGCCTTTGTGGAGCTTCGATGCGCTGCAAGTCGATGCGGCCACTGCCGGAGGGTACGATAAGCCATACCACAAGCTGTCGACCCAATCGATCAATCTTCTCTCTTCGCTTTCCCCGCCTTTCCCCGCAGAGCTTTGTTTCAGGTCGGCTACAGTCAGCTTGCGGACATATTGGCGCTTCCCAAACGGACAGTCCAGAGCGGCCTCAAGGCAGGCGGAGGAGGGCAGCCAGCTGCCGCCGCCTATGATTTCGAGAGAGACGGGAAGGCAGAGCTGGAGTCGTTCCTACGGCGGCTGCAGTCGGCGTATCTGTCCAACCACTACCACAACGCTGCACACGCGGCTGACGTCGCCAACTCGATGCACTTCCTCATGCAGGTATGTACATACGTCAGGTGGCAGAGACACAGAGAGAGGGTGTGTGTGACTGTGGAACATCTATGCCGTGCAGGCGACTGATTTGTGGGCGCACACTATCCCTGAGACGAAGGCAGCGACGTGTGTGGCAGCACTGGGTCATGATGTCGGTAAGTGGGTCATGGAAACCAGGTGTGTGGCCATGTGTGATACATATGCATATGCCCGCAGGCCACGAGGGCAAGAACAACCAGTTCTACGTCACGACGCTGAGCGACCTCGCCCTCAAGTGAACAAGAACAGGCGCCACACAGACGTGTGTGTGCGCATTTGCTTGTCTGCTGTCTAGATACAACGACACGAGTGTGTTGGAGAACTACCACGCCTCCACCACCTTCGCCATCCTCGTCGCGACAGAGAACAACTTCATCAACAAATGGATGTCTAAAGAGGAGGTCAGATACATAGACGGCAATACAGAGCCACGAACAAGCCATTTTCGCTCTCTCGTGTCTCGTCTGTTCAGTTCAGTCACTTCCGGGGCATCGTGATATCCCTGATTCTAAGCACCGACCCTTCCACCCACTTCGGCGATATGAGTGCATTCAGAGTGCGACTCAAGACGCCCGTAAGACAAACAAGATCGCGGCATGGCAGCGAACAGAGAGACATGGGCTGTGTCGGTGTCTTTTGTGTTGTGTTAATTCAGGACTTTACACCTCTACATGGTGAGGACAAGAAGATGTTGCTGAAGCTGCTGATCAAGGCGGCCGACATCGGGCACGCAGCCAAAGAGTGGTCCATCCACCTGAAGTGGACGCTCCGGGTGCAACAGGAATTCTGGGAACAGGTAAGGCAGATGGATGCATCGACGAATCATCTCTCTCAGCCACACCCTCACACAACGCTGGATGGCATGGCATGCAGGGTGATGCCGAGATGCTCTTAGGTCTGCCGCAGAGCCCTCTGTGCGACCGCAGCAACTCCGACATCCCCGCCAACCAGACGGGCTTCCTCAAGTACGTCGCCATACCACTCTTCAGCCTGGTCCAGGTGCGTGGATAGCCGGTACCCTCGATGTGTGTTCGCCTCATGGACAATCTGCGTCATACACGGATGCAGGAGGCGCATGATCCGTTCCGAGTGCTCCAGGAGACGATCATATCTGTGTGTACCAAGAACATCGATTGCTGGGTAACCGTTAAGGAGGGACATCGACGCGAGCAGATCCTCGAGGACTGGCTCGACACACAGAAAGTCAAGTGGAGACCGACTCCCAAAAGGTCTGTCTGCCACTATGACGTGTGTGCGAGTGACAGAGAAGGATACGTATGGGCTGAGTGTGGTGCGCCTTTGGATGCAGGGACTGTTCTGGTGGCGAGGCCGCGGCGGGTAGCAATGAGGCTGAAGAGACCTCAGCCCACTGACAGACAAGAGGTGTATGCAGAGTAGTTGGATCAGCCAGCCAGCCAGCAGGGCGGCGCGCACACATTGCCCTCCATGGCGTATCTTGATGAGAGTATGCATATGTAGTATTTGCCCGCAGAGTGCCTTCTGTCTGTCTGTCTGTCTGTCTGTGTAGCGAGGGAGGACAGCAGATCGACTCGTTAGCCAGACTGGTTATCTCTTGACTCTCCATGAGTATATGTGTGTATGTTGAGATTTGGCCACATGCATTTGTTGTTGAACCGAATTGATATTCATGGACAGATTGGTGCCTGTACTTTACTCGTATCTCAACACACCGGCCTTGTCATGTCCGTCCATCCATCCATCCATCCATCGAGAGCATCGTCCATGGTCGATGTGATATTCGACGCATCAAATGCTTGTCAGTATTGTGTTGTATTGTTGTTCCAGAGTGAGTCCGTCAGTATTGTTGTTCCACATACACGACCTGGGGCTGAGGCGGTGCTGGCGGCGGGCCGGTCATCGGGGGCGGACCCTCTGACACACACAGACAGTCAGGCAAACGGACACGCAGACAGACAGGGGTGATATATACTGCTGGCGACGAGGAGACATGGTGTACTGCTGTCTCGGTACCAACCTGAGACGTACATGACCGCTCCTGTCTCTGCATATCATTGGAAGGAGGAAGAGCAGACAACGAACGGCACAGAAAATGACACGGTTTTCGTTTCTGTGTGCTTGATTACGGCGGGGCGGGGGTGGGCCGGGCGGCGGCAGTGTGGTTCCGTATCCAGGACCGCCCCCGGCATAGAGATACTCACCCTACTCGTCTTTGTCCCTGCCGCCACAGCACGCCGGCACCTACACGACCGTACGCACAGTGTGGCCGTGAGCGGTGTACACACATGATCACACAGGCAGGCGGATAGATAGGCGGGCATTCATTCATCATGACACCTACTGTGACGAAACAAGACCCGATGAAGTCGAGAATCCCGGCCGCGATCACCATGATGTAGACGTAGTTCCACTTGTAGGCGAAGTAGGTCGACATACCACTGGCAAACACACACACACACACACACAGAGAGAGAGAGAGAGAGAATGTTGCCATGTGTTTCTCGTGTCGTGTCAATGCGCACTAGTTCCAGCCCCAGTTGAAGAAGGCGAAGGAAGCGAAAATGGTGCCAAGTCCGCCAACTGCAACGAAATTGGCGCAGCTAGTGGCGTTGACGGTGAGCCACTTGTTGACGCCAGCCGACCAACTCGTCGCCCCCAGCATGAGGCACAAGAGTGTGGACACCATGGACAGGATCCAGGCGAATACCAGGAAAAACCTCACGCACCACTCAGCGATGTACGCGCCGAAAAACTTGAATCGCAAGTGTTCAACTGCAGTGGAACAGAGACGCCCGTGGCAGGAGAGTCAGGGATGCTTCCAGCATCAGATCTGTCAGGTCAGTGGGCGGGCGTACGGACCGTTGTAGTATTCCCTGCAATGGTGCTTCATCTGCACACGAGAGAGAGACCGTGGCAACCAATCCTTTTGTCCCGCCGGCCATCGGCCACCACCCGGCAGCCGTCTCACGCACCAGGTCTTTGATGTCGTCGAAGTGTTCTTTGGTCAGCCACTTGCTCTTCTGGCCCATATCCTTGAGGTGGTCGTAGTAATCGTCCGCTCTGCTGGCATCGGGCACGCTGATGCACATGTAATAGGGCCCGAACTCAAGGCTGCACCACACGAACACGACGGACCCACACAGTGTCACCAACAAAGAGTCTGTGCCCTCGTGGGGCTAGCTAAGATCAAACAAACAGACAGACAGACGGACCGGCCATATTGCCCGTCTTCTCCGAGCTCCTTCTTCGTCTCGGCGAATATCCTGCAGACAAACAGTGGCCACACACACACACACACACACGCACACGCAGGTTTTGGCTTGTGTGTGCCGTCTCATCATTTGTCCTCACTGTCTCACCACTGGTTGATGAAGAACCCAAAGCCCAGCCCCACACTGGCAAGCAAGAAACAGAAGGAGGCCACCAGATAACTCCCCTGGGCCATCTGGAGTGAGACTGGGGGGGAAGCTTGGGGGGGGGGGGGTCTCCCGAGAAACCTCTGCGAGCTTTTTGCAGAGGTGCAGCAGCGTTGCCTTTGAGCGAGTGATTTGGCCGCAGGCAGGGGTCTGATGATGGACAGCGGTGCCAGCGCCGCGTTGCGAGAGGAAGGAGAGTCGTGGCGTTGAGGCCGCTGTGGGATCTGGCGGCGAAACCATGCCCAGACCGCACAGCGACTGGCACATCCCCGACCGATATGAGATCAGACACCTCATCGGGTTAGCCATCCGACTCACCCTGCCAGTGACGGTCACTGACCGCCGTTGACGGACTTTTTGTGTTTTCTCTGTCTGTGTGTGTGTCTGTGTGTGTGTCAGGACCGGGTCGTACGGGCACGTGTGTGAGGCGTACGACCACACGGAGAAGCGTGTGGTGGCCATTAAGAGGATCCACAGGGTGTTCGAAGACCTCGTCGACTGCAAGAGGATACTGCGCGAAATCGCCATCCTCACACGACTCTCGCAGGGTCAGTGGCTGGCCACACAGACAGACAGACAGACAGACAGACAGACAAGCAGACAGACACGAGCAAGGAGGACATAGCACAGTGATGGAGGGCGTGTCTGTGTCTGTGTGTGTGTGTGCGTCTGGGTGTGGTGTGTTGTGTGCAGACCACATTGTCCGCGTGCTGGACATCTGTGTGCCCAGGGATCTGCAGAACTTCGACGTACGCACACGCACCAGCCGCACAGCACAGCACAGCCCAACACACACACTGTGTGTGTCTGTCCATCTCATCTGCCGTCTGGCCGCACCACACCACACTACAACAGGAGTTGTATCTGGTGCTGGAGATAGCGGACAGCGATTTCAAGAAGCTGTTCAGGACGCCCGTCTTCCTGACTGAGCTGCACGTCAAGACGCTCCTCTACAACCTCCTCGTGGGCGTCAAACACATACACTCCGCCGGCATCTACCACAGAGACCTGGTGGGAGGGATCGACGGATGCCGTGACGTGATGGCACTCCTCGATGGCTCTGTGTGTGTGTGTGTCGCAGAAGCCCGCCAACTGCCTGGTCAACCAGGACTGCTCTGTAAAGATCTGGTGAGTTCACGGCCGACGCTGGAGGAAGGGAGGGAGGGAGCGGCACAGAAGAGGCAACCTCGGCTTGAACGTCCCTGTCCCTCTCTGTGTGTGTGGTGCAGTGACTTTGGCCTCGCACGCACCGTTGATCGTGTGCTGGACCCAAAGCTGCCAAACTCACCGAGGTCAGCACCCACACACATAGATAGATATTGCAGCCCGCACGTCCTCGAGCGTGTGCGTGTGTCCGTGTGTGTGTGTTTGATGCAGGAATGGCGACGGTGACATGGTGGGTGTGGCCAACACCAAGAGCCTCAAGAGGCAGCTTACCGGACACGTTGTCACCAGGTAGTGGTGACTCTCACTCTCTCTCTCTCTCACACACACACACTCTCTCTCTCTCTCTGTGTGTGTGTGTATGTGTGTGTGTGTGTGTGTGTGAAGGTGGTATCGAGCACCCGAGCTGATCTTGCTGCAGGAGAACTACACCGAGAAGATCGACTGCTGGAGCGTCGGATGCATATTCGCTGAACTCCTCAATATGATGGTCAGCCACCCACACACCCACACAAATGCTGCCCGCCGATTCGTTCGGTCACTGTGGATGTCTGCGTGCGATGCGCTACGTGTCGATCCATCAGAAGGAGAATGTGCCCTACCACTCCGACCGTGGCCCCCTCTTCCCAGGATCGTCCTGCTTCCCCCTCTCACCTGATCAGGTCAAGACGCAGTCATTGTTTGCTTGGTCTATGCATTCCATTCTGCTGTCTGTCTGTCTCTGTCTGCGTCTTTGTGTGCCATTCGCTGTGTCTGCCACTCGCAGAAACACGCCACCGACTACAAGTAAACAAAGAGAACAGAGGGACGGAGGGACAGAGGGAGGGACGGTTGATTGAAGCTCCGATGTTTGCCTTCTTATGTTGCGCGCTTCTCTCTCTCTCTCTGTGTGTGTGCAGGTTCCACACACGCGGCAACCGTGATCAGCTCAACATGATCTTCAACATCCTTGGCACGCCATCAGAGGAAGACATCGAGGCGCTCGAAAAGGACGACGCCAAACGGTCAGTCAGTCAGTCGGCGAACCTGCCGCCAGCCCGCCCGCCCGCATCTCGTGTCACACGTGCACATGTGCAGGTATATTCGCATCTTCCACCAGCGTGACGGCATCGACCTCCACTCACGCTTCCCGGGAGCCTCAGGTGGGCGAGGAAAGGAGAGACACACACACACACAGAGGGAGGGGTGGATCGCTGCTTCGTTGGTTCGTGTGTTGGTGTGTCTGTGTGTGTGTATTTAGCCGAGGCGGTGGACCTGCTGCAGCGGATGTTGGTGTTCAACCCGGGCAAGCGAATCTCCATCGACGAGGCCCTCGCACACCCGCTCTTCAAAGACATCCGGAATGTCGCCAGCGAAGTATGTTGGCCACACGCAGGCACACACAGCAAGACGCACCAGTGAGTCCACCCGTTGTATGTGTGTGTCGTGTGTGTCTGAAGACGATCGCCAAGGAGAGGATTCAGCTGCCCTTTGACGACTGGCTGTCGCTCAACGAACAGCAGCTCAGGTGCTCACTGAACCAACTACACACACGCGGAGAGAGAGGGAAAGACCGTGTGTGTGCTGTGCTGTGCTGTGCTGTGCAGGATAGCGTTCTTGCGCGAGGTGCTGCGGTACCACCCTCAGTGCGCACAGCTCAACGCCTTCCTCTCACAGATGCCCCCGCACTGACTGACCCAACGACACATTCATTACACAGGGATGGGGGCAATCATATCATGTGTGTATCTATGTCCGTGTGTGAGTGTGCAAAGGGCGCCCCCGCCACTGCGAAACCAACAGTGGGCGGGCGGCGTGCCCGCACCCACGCGCTCACCAGGCAGACAGACAGACGGGATGGGGAGAGGGAAGGGCTGATCGAATTGGTCACTGAGCGAGCGATCGAGTGAATGTATGGGTACATGGACACACGCAGCAGCCAGGCAGGCACCCAACGAACACAACACAATGCCATGCCATGTGTCAGTGTGTGTGTGTGTATTTTTTTCTCGTCCTGTTCTCAAGAGAAGGGATGGGGCGAGGCGAGACGAGTCCATCGTCGTAGAGGGAATCCAATGCACAGACTGACAGCGCCGCGAAGGGCGCAGGAACGATGACTTACACACACATAACGCTGCCTGTTTGCCTGCCTGCCTGCCTGCCGGGTCACTTGGCTGGCTGATGATGAGATGGGTGTGTGGATGGATGGATGGATCAACGAGCGATTGCATAAGAGTGTGTCTGTGTGTGTGTCTGATGTGTATGTGTATGTGTGAGTGCGCGAGATGCATGGCTTTTTCAAGCCCAGACAGACAGCGAGGCAGCGTGCGTAAGTATACGTAAGGCCTCAGATGCGATGCGATGCGGTCAGTGAGAGTGCTGTGTGTCGTTGAGAGAGAGAGAAGGGCAGACAAAGGCGAGTGTATTGTATCTTACCCATCTATCTATCTCTGGAGGCAGCCTTTATCCAGCACAGACAGCCAGCTCGCGGCATGGATTTCTCAGTCGGTAATTCAATATATCAGTCGGTCGGTCGTTCAGTCGGTCCTCAGTCGCCATCCATCCCCACAAAACATCGTATTCACACCACACACGACAAATGCACTTGAAGAAAAGCCCCCTCCCCTGCCGATGGATGCACTCACCGTGACGCTCGCCAACGAGCGACGACCCTCACTCCCAGCCCCGCCAGCACGAACACACCCAAAGCCGCCCCCACCCCACACGCAACCACCACGCGGCTGTCGTCCGGCAGCAGCATCTTGCCCAGGATGGCCAACATGCCTTGTGTGTCGGTGGTGTTGTTGTTGTGCGGGTCAGTGAGTGTCTTGGTCATGTACTGCCCCTGCCCTTGCAGGTGGTAGCCGAACTTGCGGTAGTACTCGCGGGCACCCACACCAGATATCACCGCTGCGCGACGATAACCTGCACGCACCAATCAAATCAACGGTAGGGGGACGGAGAGAGAGAGAGAGAGAGAGGCGCCCGTGATGTGTCTCTCTCTGTGTGTGTGTATGTTGTGTGCACCTCTATCCCATGCGATCTGTTCGGCTCGCTGCAGGAGCCGCTGGCCGAAGCCCACATGCTGCGGCCGCACGTCCTTTCTGCCCTCGCGGCTCTCACCCACACCCACCAGCTGCCCTGCAGCACACCGAGCGCAAGACTCACGCCGCCCCTCTCTGCGTCTGTGTGTCGTGACTGTGTGTGTGTACCGTAGACGTGGACCTCGCGAATGAGTGCCGCTCCCTCCAGCTCGGGGAAGACCGCCGTGGCCGCGTGGCTGTGTCTGTGCTGTTGTCTGTCGGGGAGCCTCAGCCTGAGGAAGCCGAAGATGGTCCTCTGGTCCGCCGTCTCAAAACTCAGAAACACCTCCTCTCCGCCGATCGTTGAGTACTCCCTCTCAGTCAGCACCGCCAGCCTACACAGACACACACGCACACACACAGGTGGAAAGAGTCACCGATGAGTGTGTGTGCGTGTGCGTGTGTGTGTGTGTATGTGTCGGTGTGTCGGGGGATGCGAGGCGATGTGTGGCACTGCAGGACAGGCAGACAGACCTGTAGTCGATTTCGTTGGCCCTGACCTCGCGGCACCTGATACAGCCGCACCACTGGCCCCGCCTCTTCAGCTCACTCAACAGCAGCTGCCTGCACACAAAGACACACACAGACAGAGAGAGAAGGACAGACAAATAAGAGAGAGGGCGAGAGAGGGAGAGACAGAGGGGCACGTACCTGAGATTGGTCTGGTTGTTGCCGCCGATGATAGACTGGTTTGGGATGTCGCGGATGACCCTGTTGAGCCGCACCCACGGCCGCACTTGCGGCTTCACCTCCAGCAGCAGATCCAGCAGCAGGCGCCCGTTGTCGATGTCAGCATAAGGCTTGTACTGCCCGTCGTAATACCTACCATCAGCCAGAGAGAGAGAGAGAGAGAGAGACAGAGAGAGAGTGAAAAAGGCCGAGAGATGTGCCGGAGAAAGGCCCTCGCTGACCATACCATTTCTCGATCTTGGTGAAAGGGGTGACTTCGCAAGGGTAGATCTTCCACTGGTCTGCCTGCAGGTCTGGGCTGTGGATGAGGTACTGGAACATCTCACGGTCCTTCTCAGGGTCGCTCCCTGGCAGGTCGGGCATGATGTGGATGTCCACCTAGAACCAAGGAAGGAACCAGTGTGGTGTGCGCCAGGGGAGGCTCTTTGTCCGTCCTACTTTGAAAGCAGCGTCCTTGAGCAGCCGCACCGCCCGAATGCAGTCCTCGCGCGTGCAGCCTATTGGACACAGCGACAGACAGACAACACATACAAACAAACAGCGGTGGCACTCAGCCATCCAGCCATCCAGCCATCGCTGGCTACCTACCTCTGTTGATGATTTGCAGTATTCTGTTGTCGACGTGCTGCACGCCGATCTGCACCCTTGTGCAGCCATATCGGCGAAGCTTGCGCAGCTCCCACTTGGTAATGAAGTCGGGCCGGGTCTCCTGAACACACACACACACACACACACACACAGAGAGAGAGAGAGAGAGCGAGCGGAATTCTGTGTCTGGGGTCGTTCTGTCTGTTCGTGTGTGTCGACCGCCCTGTGCCCCTGCGTGACCGACCAGTGTGACGCCGATGATTCTGCACTTGGCCGTCTCGTTGCGGCTCATCTCCTCCTCAAGCGACAGCCGAGGCCGCTTGTCGCGCAACACACGGTTCACCACACCACCAGACGCAGCAGCAGCAGCAGCGCCATCACCGGGTTGATTGGGAGGAGAGGGCGCCATGAAGGCATCCACGGCCTCCTGCTCCTCGTCGGGGGTATCATCACCATCACCGCCATCCGCCTCTTCCTCCTCATTGGTCGTGCCGTTCATCATCGCGGTCATGATGGTGGCGTCGTCGGAGGCCATGCTCGTCCGCGAGGGCTCTCTCTCAGTGGCCAAGACGTGCTTCTTGACGCGCTTGCGGACGGGGAAGGACAGCACGGGCTGATTGCTGTCGGGGGCCGGTGCCGGTGGAGGGGCGGCTGCTGTGTCCGCGTCTGTGTCTTCGTCAAGGGCGAACGTGTTGGCCGCGTAGAAGAGGTCCCGGATGAAGGTCTCCTGATATGAGGTGGGATAGCTGCAGCAATGCATCCACACACACACACGCACACACACACACACACAGAGAGAGAGAGAGAGAGATAGGAATGAGCAAAGATGACCGCCATGACTCTCTCTCTCTCTCTCTCTCCCTCTCTGACCTGGACCAAGTGCCGCCCAGGACGAGTATCTCAATCTTGTCAACAGTGTGTCCGTTGCTCTGCAAAGTCTCGGCTCTGTCGAAGAACTGCGATGCGGCGTCCCACCCGTTCTGGTTGCCGCGGAGCACTGCCGGCTCGGTCGACAGGTAGCTGCGCGGCTGGCCCGGCTCGTTGGGGCAGTAGTGGCAGTCCTTCGGGCAGCTGAAGGCGCCCGGGGCGGTCAGCACCGTTATCACACACACGCCTGCACACACACACACACACACACACAGACAGAAGCAGACACCGCCCGCTCGTCGACGGCTGTGTGTCGGCCGCAGTGATCGATCAATCCCTCACCCACCCGAAGAGCTCCTGACGTTTTTCTTCCTGCAGAACTTCTCGAGCAGCGGGCATCTGGCGATGGTGCCGCCCTCCAGCTCCTTCTCGTAGACGTGGAGCAGCTGCGCCTTGCCGGGGCAGGCCTGGTACTTCCTGCGCAGGTCCCTCTGCGCCGCCAGAAACTCCTTCTCTGTGCTGTACCCCTTGCCGCCGTCTGCGCCGTGGCTGATGAGGTCGACGAGAAAGGCCTTGACGGTGTCGTATGGGATGCTGTTCTTGTCAGACTCGTAGCGGTCGTAACTCAGCCACTCCTGCACACACAGTCACCGGATCATACCATCCACAGGTGTGTGTGTTGTGTGGTGCTGTTGGCTGGTTTGTTTGATTCACCCGCATGCTCTTCTGGAAGCTGTCCAGGTGGCGCTGAGGAAACGCACAGCCACAGCACGGCGCATTCTGTCTGCCTGTCTGTCTGTCTGTCTGTGTTGCCTCGTGTGTCCATCTATTTACCTTCTTGTAGAAATCTTGCTTCTCTTCCTTTGTCATCGCTGTCGACTCCTCGGCTGCAGCATCCATCGCTGGTGTGTGGTCTGTAGGGTTCTGAAGCAGGGTTTAGGGTTTCAAGGCTAAGCTCGCAGACCGGCTTCCTTCTCGCCGCTCGGCTTCGAGGGACGCCACGTGCTGTCGCTTTTGCCGTCCACCCCTTCAATGACGAGCACAATGGCGAGCACAAGCAAGACTTCGACAAATGAATTGGTATCTGTAGACAGACAGACCCGTCGCCGCATTCACTCGCAATTTAGAGCTGTGCTGGGCTGTGTGTCTGCCCCAGGCCAAGATGGAGAACACCAATTGGGAGCCCGTCAACGACGAGATGGCCGTCGACATCACCGAGTATGAGGGCACCATCCCGCCCGGCCTGCAGGGCGAGTTCGTCCGCAACGGTCCCAACGCACACATGGGCATCAAGGGCCTGCACCTCTTTGATGGCGACGGCATGCTACACGCACTGGTGCGCACCGCACTTATATTGATGGTCTCGTCTGTGTGTGTATCGTCTTTGGGGTGCTTTGCCATGTGGTGCAGCGGCTTTACAAGTCGTCGGACGGGAGCATGAAAGCCCGGTACATCAACCGTTACGTGCAGACCCCCCGCCTGCAGGAGGAGCGCAAGGCCAAGCGGGACCTCTTCATGCGCATCGGGCAGCTCCGCGGGCGGCTGGGCATCATCCGGATGCTCCTGTACCCTCTGCGGCAGATGCTGGGGATGGCCGGCAAGATGGACAAGGCGGACAGGCGCACGGGCACGCAGAACACCGCGCTGGCCTACTTTAGGAAACGTATGTGTGTGTGTGCGTGCGTGTGTGTGTGTGTGTGTGCACATGGACGGCGACATTGTGTGATGGTGCACACACCTTCTTTGTTTGTGTGTCGTCAGGTCTGCTGGCGTTGGTCGAGAGCAGCCTGCCGTTCAGCGTCAAGATGCTGCAAGACGGCGACTTCGAGGTGGGTGTGGGCACCACAACAGAAACAAGCAACCACACAGCGCAGCACAGCGCAGCGCAGCACAGCACAGCACAGCACGTGCTTGTATTTCCTCTCTCTCTCTCCTTGTGTGTGTTGGCTTTGTTCGTGTGGTGTGGTACCTAAGTCCGAGTGCTACGAGTCTTACGGCGAGAAGCTGAACCAGCCTGTGAGCGCACACAGCAAGGTGGACCCTGAGACGGGCGAGTTCCTCATCTACGGCTACGACCTGCTGAGCAAGCCCTACTGCAAGTATGCCATCGTCGACAAGGACGGCAACCTCTCACACAGACTTGACGTCGAGTACGTGGGCGGCACGGCCACATACACACACACAGAGAGAGGGAGAGAGGGTGGATGGGGTCATTGTGTGTGTGTGTGTGTGTGTGTGGCCCGCCTTGCTGCAGGATTCCACGGCCTGTGATGATGCACGACTTCGCCGTGACGAAGAACTACACGATCTTCCTCGACATGCCGCTCATATTCGACCCCAAGAGGATGGCACGGTAAGTGGGTCGGTCACACATTACATACGCACCACACACACACAGAGAGAGACCACCAGTTGTATTGTATGCCATATGCCCTCTGTGGTTCCTCTGCCAGCGATTGGCAGTACTCCTACCCATTCCGCTTCGATGCCTCCATCAAGGCGCGGTTCGGCATCTGCCCCAGATACGCCAAGTCGATGGACGAGTTCACCTGGTTCGAGACGAGACCATGCTACGTACGCTACGTGACCCACCAGCTGCACTGCACCCACACAGACAGACAGACGTGTGGACTGCCACTGTCTGTCGTGTCGTGTGTGCAGGTCTTCCACACGATGAACGCCTATGAGGACCCGGAGAATCCCCGGAAGATCGTGCTGCATTCGTGCCGCTTCGAACACATCGAGCTGGAGTTCGACAACTCCGCTAGCCCGTACGCTACGCGAGCAGCACAGCACAGCTGACCACAGCGGGAAGCCAGCCAGTCGGGTCATTCCTTCTGTTGTGTGTGTGTCAGTGCGTTGGTCAAGTGGACTTTCGACCTGGACACCAAGGAGATGACCGAGGAGCTCATCGTCGACAACGGCAAAGACACGCTCGAGAACCCTGTGTATGTGACCCAACACCTACACACACTCACACACACAGAGAGAGAGGGGGGGGAGTTTGGCTCAGTTTTTCTCCGTCCGTTGTGGTGCTTTGTTGGTTTGGGTTGGTTTGGTCTCGCTGACAGTGAGATCCATGGCGAGTTCCCCAGGATCAACGACTCCTACGTGGGCCGCGTGAACCGATATGGCTGGTTTGTCGAACAAGACAGCGACAAGGGCACCTTCATCGCAGTCGTCAAGGTGAGTCAGCGAGCAACCACCAGCCCACCAGTCCAGTCCAACATGTCTTCTCTCTCTCTCTCTCTCTGTCTCTTCTCAGCTGGATCTGCAGCAGCGATCGGTGGCGGGCTGCATCGACTTCAGCTCCTCTCTCGGCAAGCCCCCCGGCACCATGACAGGCGGCGAGTGCGTCTTCGCTCCCAACACAACCACCATCACCACGACAGAGGATGGCGGGTACCTGATGACTTTCCTCTACGACACGGCGGCCAAGGAAAGCTACTACTGCGTGTGGGACGCGGCGACCATGGCCGAGGCGCCCGTGGTGAAGATGAAGCTGCCGCGACGAGTGCCCTATGGCTTCCATGGCATGTGGGTGTCGGAGGAGCAGATACAGTCGGGCTTGCACTAGAGGGAGGGAGGGACGTGGGGGAAGGGAGACTGACTGTTGTGTGTACTTCAACAAGTGCCTGTGGTGTATTGCTCGGGGGTCGGGCCGCAGGGCTGTCCTGCGTTGCTTTGCCGAAGGTAGGCTGGCAGGCAGCCGGGGGGGGTGGTTATGCGTTTGTGTGAGTGCATCCTTGAGATAGATGTCACGCAGCACAGACGCACACACACAGTACCTACCTACTCACTGCATTCATGAGCCATTCATGCGACGCAGTCTGTCTGTCTGTCTGTCTGCCGAGAGAGAGAGAGAGAGAGAGAGGATCTGTTGTGCTGTGCTGCATGTGCCGTTTAGGTATGTTTGATGAACGTGTGTGTGTGTGTGCGTGTGTGTGTTGGGGGTCTTTTCTCGCCGAGACACTGACCGCATCTCTGTATACACACGCAACACTCCTGTCTCTTGCTGTCCACTGACTAAGTTGCATGCCTTCATCCGGTCGACAGACACAGACAGGGTAGGATACCTCGCCGTGCGAGTGTGGCTGGCTGGCTGGCTGTTCGGAGCTCAGTCCATTTCAGCACAGCACACAAGCAGGCGGCCATCGGTTGATTGGGCGACTTCCTGACAGATGGGATGGGTGCGAGGGCGCCTCACACGAGCCACCCGCCCAACCACCCACTGTCAGATGTGTGTGTGAGTGCGTGTGCATGGGGCAGCTTTATCAATCCAATGGCGTGTGTGTGCGTGTGTCGTGTGTGTGAGCGTGTGTCTTTTTGTCGTTGGTCCTGCAACGCAGTGTGCCACGGAACTCACGAATGGAATGAGCGACCAGACCCAGACCAGACCGAGGCGGTCTTTGTTTTTGAAAGGATCACAGCACACAGCACAGCACACACACACACAGAGATCGATCGGAGTTCGGACTCGCGCACAGTCCACACATCCCCTCCACACACACAATATACGTGACGCCACAGGGCGGCCAGCCAGTCGGTTTCACCGATCAGTCAGTCCATCAGGCAGGTGGAGGGGGTGGATTGGATGTCATCCGTCGTTTAGCTTAGCTGTTAGTTATGATACACGATCGGCCAGCATCCATCCATCCATCCATCCACCCACACCCGTCCGAACGTCCGTCTGATCTCCTTGGCGACGACAAGGCAGACAGACAGACGGACGGACGGATAAACAGATCGACAGACAGACCACACCGCAACACCCCCATGCTACCCCTCCAGAAACGAGGTGTCATTTTGGACACTCACGGCAGTGCACGCTAGTGTGGTGTGGTGTGGTGTGGTGCTTCGCTCCCCCTGTGCATGTCGGCTGAGCGCAGCATCCCAACCGTCCATCGAGACAGCGGAGGAACCACACACACACACACACCCCTAAGCGACTCGCGCAGCCTGCCTGCCTGCCCTCTATCGAACCAACCATAATCCACGCTCAGCACGGCACGGCACGGTACGGCACGTGTGCGTGTGTGAGTGTGTGTGGTGGATTCTGTCTTTCTCGCCAGCGAGCAAAATGCGGAGTGCACCGAGGGATCCATCCATCCTCCATCGGCAGGGGTGGCCAGCAAGTGCTATAAGCTCTAGATAGAAGGGGCGTGGCGCGTGTGGGCGAGATAGACAGCGACCGATCGAGTGGGAGAGAGTGTCCGGCACACAAACCAGCACGCCCCCCACACACGCATATTCGATCATCCATCCATACATCGATCCATCCATCCACACACGGCAGCCAGCCAGTCGCTTAAACACACACACACACACACTTACACACACACACACACCGAACAAACAATCGGCCGGCGGTCTGTCCGTCAGTCAGTCACACCCCCAGCTGTCCCGCCCACACCACCAGCAGGCCCCCCTGATGCAGCCGATGCAGCAACAATTTTCCTCTCCTCCCCGCCCCCAGTGTCGTCCCCTCCCCTCTCCTCGGTGCCTCTGTCGGCAACACCGCCACCATCACTCAACTTGCCCTCCACCGCCACCTCCCCCCCGCCAGGCGGCCCGTCCTCTCTGTCGTCGGGAGAGTAGGCCATCGGCCGCGCACCGCCGCTGCCCCTACCGCTGGCGGCCTCGTGGCCCGGCCCGGCCTCGCCAATTCCGTTAAGCTGCGGCTCCCCGCCGCCGTTGGCCTGTGGTGTGTCGGTCAGGTGCTGCTGGTGCGGCGGCGGTGTGCAGGGGTCTCGTGAGTCGATTGCAGCCTGGTTGACAGACAGACACGGACAAGAGAGGCGACATGGATGGATGGATGGATGGCTGTGGCGGTCAGTCGGGGCTGACCATGGGTTGTGGCAGGGGTTGTTGGTGTTGGGGGAGGGGTGAGGATTCGCTCATGGGAGCAAAGGCAGACGAGGACGGGGGTTGGGGAGGCAGTGGGCGCACACGCTCACGCTCCTGCACATACACACCAAACAAACAAACGAACCGAACCAAACCAACCAACATACGTACGTTGACGCACTCACAGACGGGCCGGGCCGGGCCGTCTTGTGTGTGTCTGTGTGTCGTGTGCCCACCCCTTCGTCATCAGGGTTGAATCCTGGCGACTGGTCAGGCGCCTTGCGCTTGCGACCGGCACGACTAACCTCATCATACTGACACACACACACACACACACACAACATGTATATGCCCAATTCCCAGCACATTGGAGGAGTGCGTGGGAGTCGTGTGTGCGTGTGGGTGAAGCTCCCCCACCCACCCAGCCCACCTCGTCTCTGGCGGCTCCTCCAGGTTCGTTCTTTCTGGGCACCGCCACGGACACGCCATCGGGCACGGCAGTCGGGATGATGCTGATCACCTTCAACATCTGATTGAGGTTTATCATAGATAGCAATCCACCAACCGATGGGCGATATAGAATGAGCGGCACAACGTAACGTACCCGCTCGAAAGCGTATGTGAGCTTCTTGGTGGACGTGTAGCTCTTGCGCGGGTCGGACAGCAGCTCACACAAACGCTGAATCGTGAACGGCGGCCTGCATCACAGAGGAAACATCACCCACCCAGTTCACTAGTCGCTGACTGAACCGATATATATCCTCCCTCACTCACCCCGTGAAGTCCTGCAGCGCCTTGACGATAGCGTCTACGTGGCTGGTGAACGACTCGCCCTGGTGCAGCTTGACGTCAGGCTTCTTGGTGTGATACTCCATCAACACCTGCAGCCACACACACAGACGCGCAGCAGCAGCAGCAGCAGCAGCAGCAGCAGCGATGAACGAACGAACCCACCGTCACCCAAATGCATCACGAACGGCACTGGGTGGGTCGAGTTGGGGCGGATGGGTTGTCAAGCTGACCTGCCGGATCTTGGCGGCGAGCACATGCTTCAACAACTCCCACGGGTACCTGATTGATATATACGATGATTGACACACAGCATTCAGTAGGACGTGCTGTGCTTCCCTCCCCCCCTCCCTCCCTCCCTCTCTCCCTCATTGGCTGGCTGGCTTGCTAGTTGGCTGACTGAATGCCCTCTCAGCTCGCGTGTGAGATGAGTGTGGACGCAGCCACCCATGGACGCACCTGATGACCCCGTTGTTAGCGATTTGCCTGATGACCGCCTCCAGGTCCTCAGGAATGCCCTCACCGTCACCCTCGCCGGCCTCACGCCGCCTCACAAACTCTGAAACCACGCCAGCACCCGCCATGAGACACTGGCAGCTGTCATGCATGGATCGAACGTCGCTCGCGACCCACCTTCGATGTCGCGCAATGTCTGGCTATACAGCTGGTCCACGGGAGCCTGCATGGTCGCCCTCAGCGGCGCTGCAGACTCCGCTGGTCAGCCACACGCGCAACTCTAGTGCCAGGGCGACTTATCGCCTCCTGAGCCTCCGCCACTCATCGCAATGCCGCAAACTCCTCATGAATGCCGTTCCCCGCTGTGTCGCCATCCTCTCGAGCTCGCAAGCTCGCAACGGATCGGCGTTTTTCCGCGTCCTGCCAGCCATCTGATCACAATATGATCACAATACACCGCTCGGCACAGCATGTTCGATTCGGCGCAGTTTTTCTGCACAAGTGTATTTGGTGATGTTCGGCAGCCACCTTTCCATTGCGGTCTGACAGTGCCCGCCGCTTCTGATTGACTCATCGCCGCGCCTCATGAGCATGCCGACTGATGGTGCGAGAAGCCGACTCGTCTGTCCGCTACTCGCCATTCTGCTGACCCTGGTTCTGACTCTGGGTTTGCTGATGGACGCCGCCAACTCGGCATCTGGCAGTCGGTCGGCCCTGGAGGCCCTCATGCGGGCAGATCCGGCCAGCAATGGGGAGTTCTCTCATCAGCTCTACCAGACCAACATCAAAGCCACGCAAAATGCCACGCTATTGACGTCCATCTATCTGCCGTCGGCTGCATCTGCTGCAGCTGCCACGTCAGCATCGTCCTCGCCCTCCTCCTCCAAGCAGCAGCCCCAGCAGTGGCCGTCCATCGCACGTGCAGCCAAGCCGTGTCCGCTGATCGTGCTGGCCCACGGCTTCATGCAGTCGTCCAGTGAGCACCGCCGGCAGGGTGAGCTCCTGGCCACCCGGGGCTACATTACCATCATCCCCGACCTGCGGGGCGGCTCCGACCACCAGAGGAACGCCGACGACCTCCGCGCACTTATCGACTGGGCGCTCTCAGAAAACACACGAGAGGGGTCGCCCTTCTACAGGGCGATAGACAGGGCCAAGATCGGCTTGACGGGCCACTCGGCGGGCGGTCTGTCGGTGCTGCTGGCGGCGGCTGCGGACGAGCGCATCGAGGCCATCGCGCCGATGGACCCTGTGGACTACAAAGGGATGGGCGTGGCGGCGGGTGGCAAAGTCAGATGCCCCACGGCCGTCACCTTCTCTGAGCCATCAAGGTACGTAGGGGGTGAGTGAGTGAGCGAGGGACGCATTCATGCGTGTGTGCATGGTGTCTGTGCACTGCATGTAGTTGCAACCGCTATGGGTCTGCCAACAAGCTGTACACGAGCCTGTCGGCGCCCAAGAGGGGCGTCAAGGTCGTGGGAGCCACACATACTGACGGACAGGTTTGTATGGCGGCAGGGGAGGGATCCAAGTGACGCCCACATGTTGTGTGTCGTGCGTGCTTGTCTGTCTGTCTGTCTGTCTGTCTACAGGATCCGTCATCATTGCTGGCTCGCATGTTGTGCGGCACGGCCGATCCCATGAAGCAGATGCTCTACAGGAGATACACCATAGGTCGGTGGGCAGCCAACTCGCACTCCATACATCCGTCCATCCATCCATCCCTCCATCTGCTTGTGTGTGACTCGTTCAGGTTGGTTCGACTACCACCTCAAGAGGGCCCCCGGTGTGACGCCATACGTCTTCAACCTCACCCACGGCCCCCTCGCCAACGACCTGCGGGCCAACCGCATCACATACGAGGCCGACTACACACTCCCGATCAAACGGCGGGGCCGCAGGTTCCGCAGCAAGGTCCGCGAGCAGCGCGATAGGCAGGACGATGACGTGTGGGAGGGGAGGGAGAGGGAGAGGGCGGCACAGGTGCAGACCGGCAAGGTGGTCGCACAGACGCTCGTGCAGTACATGTGATTGACTGACTGATGGAGAGGAGGAGGGAGAGGAGTATCAGGCTTATGTACAGTACAGTAATAGTATATAGCTCAGTGGATGGCGTTGCGTTGCGTTGCCAAACCATAGGGACAGCGAGAGAGGGAGAGAGAGGGAAGGAGCAAATGGGTGCCTTAGTGATCGATCACGACAGACAATGAGTGTGAGACGTCGTTCTTTTCCCCGGGCCCTCTGCTGTGACTGTCTACATGGACAATACGTGTACATGTGTGAGGTGCTGTCGATCAATTCCGTCTCAAGATGCTCCAGGGATCGTTTCTGTGTGTGTGGATACGCCACACATGCATTTGATCGGTCACTGGAGCTCACATACGAGATGGAAACGGTCACCGGCGGCTCTCTGAGTGAGTGAGACACGCACACTTTTGGTTGGACGTTCGGTGATTGTTCAAGGCATCCACCAAGATGGCCGCCCGTGCACCACTTAGTCACCTATCGATGGCCATCCCTGACCTACGTCATATGCACTCTCACCTATTTCTCTATCTGTCTGTCTGTCTGTCTGCCTAATATATCCTCTCTCACTGTCGTCATCTCCACCTGCCCTCCTCCCTCCTGTCTGCTCCCGCATCCCCTCTGTCCTTGTGTGTTATCTGCCGCACCAGAGACGGCCGTGCGATTGCCATCGCCTCCTCCCGGGTGCTTTGCCTCCGGATGGCCGAGTTCCGCCTCTGTCGCCTCGACGCCCGCCGCTGCTTGTCCTGCCGCACCAGCAGCTGGCGCGTCGCGCGCGGCATCGTACCCATGGACCCCGCTCTTCGGCGAGGGTCGGGGTGGGGCTGGTGGACGATTGACGAGCTGTCGGTCGTTCTCTCCTGCACCGGAAGCCGCTGGTAGTGCTGCTGTGCAGGAGGGTGGTAGTGCTGCAGGTGGGGATGATCCTTCTGCAGCATGGCAAGGCGTGACGGTGGGTGCGGCGAAGGGGTTGGTGTCCTTCGAGTGTGCGGCATCATGTGTGGAAGGAAGAAGCACGTGAACTGTGTGGCGGCGAGGCTGAGGGTGACGAGCGAGTTGGCGAGGCAGAGGGGGTAAAAGACTTAGGTGCCCTGCTTGGCTATCATGTACCTGCAACCGTCCATCCATCCATCCAGATAAACACAGCCAGAGAGGCAGGCTCTCTTGTGTGCATTGCCTTCGCAGGCGCGTGTCTACAGCCTACTAACGGGTAGAGCCACGGGCCGAGCCAGCCGCCAAGCGAGTACTTGACATTGAGCTGCATCCATGAGACAAGACAAGCACAGACACGAGACAAGCAGGGAAATGGAGCGAGACACTCACTGCTGGCCGACAGACCATAGCGAAGTTGGCATTGTCTCGTGTGAAGAGGGCGTCGTTTGGCACCTCCACTTTGGTGGGGACGGCGTCGTTGGTGACGTCCACGATGGACAGGAAGCTCATCGACGCTATGCTGCCGCTCCAAAAGAGCAGCTGGAAACTGTCGTGCTGCACCCACACACACATGAATGGATGGACGGACAGCCTGATACATACAGATGGCTGGATGAGGGCAGGCCCACTCACTCACCCATTCATAGACGCCGAGCAAGCGCCACAGCGGCGGCAGGTAGACGACGGTGCACAGGAAGTGACCTGACAGCCAGACACATCGATGCACCCATCGATCGCTCGATGTGGGATGGTCAGGCGCACAGACACAGACACACACACAGACGTACACGTACAGGTGGCGCATGTGAGGATGGAGTAGTGGTCGGGAAGGACAGACGGGCCCCCACACAGAAAGAACAGTGTCTGCACGACTGATTCACGGACAGGCAGACAGAAACAGACAGACAGACAGACACACGCAAAATACATTGAATGTCGATCAGTGGCTCACTCGGCACAATGACGAGAACCAGGGCAAAGCGATATCTGACAATATGAAGAAGAAGCTTGAGTCAATGTGCTGCAGCCGGGTGAGTGACACTCTCTCATTCGCTGACTGACTGACCCGACATCCGGCACAGCGACGTCAAATCGGAGTTCTTCCACAATGGCGATGCCGGCGTCCCAGCCCGATCTGTGTGCCTCATTGGAGGCCGTGATCAGCAGACACGTCAGCCACAGCCACCGACGGTCGCAGGGGCTCTTGGGCGCCACTAGCCGGCTTCTCGATTTGCTGGACGGCCGTGGTGAGACAACAGCCAGGTCGTCGACACCTCTCCGCTCAGGCAGCAAAGACTGACAAGACGACACACACACACGTGCTCACAGACCATCCCTGTCTGTCTGTCTGTCTGTCTGTGTATGCATGTGTGTATTTCTCTCTCCTTTATTCTCAGTCACTCACGGACCGGCTGCTGTGCGAGTTGCTTGATGAACTGCTCCCTGGGTTGCTCGCCGTACACGTCACTCTCGCGCATGCAGCCCCACACCACACAGAAACCCACCAAGAGCATTATCAACAGCAGCAACTGGGGCAGCACGAACCGACTGACCGAATGACACACACACACACACACACACACGCACAGGGTCTCTGTCCAATGTCTCTGCTGGATGTTGCGTGTCCCTCGCCCACTCATGCACCCGAAGATCATTGGCCCTATCTTGAGGCGGCACGTGTACATGGACGATGTCACCACGGGACCCAGAGCCATCCCTGCTCCCGCCACAAACAAGCAGATCAGCATGAATGGCAAAGCACGGGGCGCGTGCACACTGACCGAGCCAGCCCGCTGCGGTCTGAAGGTTGAAGTAGAAGGTGCGGTGCTCCACGCTCGTCGTCACCGTGAACAAGTGGCGGGAAGTCACCATGTTGCCGCCGGCTATGCCGTTGATGCAACGACCAACCAACAGGAGCGTCAGCAACACCCACTGCGGACTCGTCTGCCGTCGTGTGGGCGGCTTCCCATCCCCCTGGCCCTCCTGTGCAGTTGGCTTCTTATCTTCCTTTGGCTTGGGGTCTTCACGAATTGATGTTCTCTCCGCCAAGGATGGCGCATTAGGTGAGGGCGAGGGGGAGGGGAAGGGGGAGGGAGATGGTGGCACAGTCGTGGCTGTTGGCTGGTGACGGTATGACATGGATGACGGCCCCTGTGACCGCTGGGCAGCAAAAGCTGACGAGGAGAGGAAGGGAGACATGGCGCACGTGATGATAGGAAGACGGCACAGGATGCAGCCAAACATGAGTACAGTACCACCGATCATGAAGGTCAGTGTGCCGAGCATGAGCAAAGCGAGGCAGAGGAGATGTCGCGTCTTGAAGCGCCACTTGCACGGATGCACATGTAGGATCTGGAAGATGACGAAGCCCAGGATGAGAAAGGCACTCTGACACCCAATCACGTGACCGCTCAAAGACAACTCCCCACTGCATATGCGAAAAGACACGAAGACAAGAAGACAAGAAGACATATGGATCATGTCGGAGTTGCGTATGTACCCCAGGGACTCGACAATCTCGCTGGCAGCTGGAATGGCCGCCGCAAATATATCATGTAGTACTGCACACACACAACAAGAGACGGGGGGAGAGACAGAGACCTGACCGATGAATGGATGGATCGATGCATTGTCTCACGTGTGTGTGTGTGCATACCCACCAGGCCTTGAGGCAGCATGTTGAGAGCAGCGAGGTACGCCGGCGGATAGGTGGGCTTGTGCAGACTTTCAGCGGGCGCCGGCCTGATGTGCCCTGGCGCCTCTGCTGCGATCCTCTCGCCCTCTTCGACCCTCAAGTGCGGCTCAGAAGCCACCACATGAATCGACCGTCGTGGTGGCACCTCATCGAGGGAAGTAAGCGAGGTCCTGGACGATTCTCTCTCGGCCTCCTCGAGGTTCTCCTGGCGGATGAGGCGCGACAGCAGGGGCTCTGCCTCATCACTCCTAGCCAGCGCGTCCGAACGCATTTCTGGAGCCAAGCTTGGGAGGCAAACCCTGAACCCCTCAAACCCTCACCCGCCCGTTCTGTCGCCGTCATCCTTCGCCAAGCGAGAACACGCCTTACGGCATCTGGAGGCCCTCATTTGCTGAGCAACACCACGTGTGCTGAGATGCATGGAGGATGAGTGGAATGAGTGACTCAAAAACTGCTGGTGGGAAGCCGGATGCGTCAGATGTCGACTGCCATCTGGTGGAACTCGTGTTTGCCACGACGGGAGAGGACGACAACGCTGTGAGTGAGGACCGCAAGCTGCGATTGAAGCGGTCTCTGCTCATCACGATGCCTTTCTTCAACGCGGTAAGCCGTCTTCGCACACGGAGCACATACACCCGTTCAACGCACTGTGTGGATGCTCGTGTGCTGATGCATGCTGCAGGCGCTGAAAGAAGACAGCTATGCAGAGGGCCAAACCAATCGCGTCGTTATCCGAGAAGTTGGCATCGATGTGGCTCGAGTGGTCCTGCAGGCTGACAGTGATGCCACCCTCAATGGGCTGACCAAGGCCAACTTCCTGCCTGTCCTGAGGGCACTCGGCTACTTCTGCAGTGCAGCCGCAACCGACGCCGACTGGATTCGGCAAGCCGAGCGGAAGGTCAGCACAACACACAACCAACACACCAACGACAAGCAGCCACAGACATGCAACGCAATGCTTCCCAGATGGTTCGGTGTGGCTGACTGGAGGATCCTTGCTTCGCCCTCTCGCTCGTTGAGTCACTCAGCCATGACGTCGTAGCCCGCCTCACCAAGACTGCAAGTGACGAGTGGCCACCCAGTGTGACGCAAGTGCTCCTGAGCAACCCTGGCTGTTTGCGGCCCTGCTGGCAGAGCGGCGGTGATCGCCAGGCTGCGGCAGTACGCTTGCTTGGCTACATGTGCCACCACTTGGCGTGTGGCCAATCACGGCCGTCCAGTGACCAGCTTGCGCACTTCCTCGTGACCGCTACTGGCTCTCCCAATATCAGCGACGCCATCGGTAAGCACGGGAGCGACGGAGAGGGCCTGTAGGTCGATGTCCAAGGAATGGAATGTGCTTCTTTTTCCCTTGGGCTCATTTGAATGCAGCTGTCTCGTTCCCCCACTTTACTTCATCCGGCACTTCACTCGATGAGAAATACAATGGCATCGTGCGCGAGTGGAGAATGGAGCCCTTCCGCGACAAAAGGCTACCGTTTAAATCGGGCACCTCTTGCATAAGCCACTGCGCGTGCTCCAGCCCACTCTGCTCCTGCGGGGCCGTCATCTTCCCTTCAGTGGCTTTCACCGTAGCGACATCGCTCCGCAGCTCGCCTGACGCCCGACCTATCCCACCATCCTGGCACTTCGCCTCGACCAAGGCGCAACACGAGGAGGGCGCCGGCAGTGGTGGCGGAAACACACAGCTGCGGGAGGTCGACCGATTCTGTGTCGACGTCAAGTTATCGGAGAAGGAGGCGTCGCGGCAGGCAGCGTGTTCGTGCATCTCGGTCCACGATCTCGCCATCTGCATGAGGCAGGGGACAAGTGACGTCAATGTGTTGGGGAAGTCGGGAGATGCTCTCACTGACAGGGGGAGCCGATACGCTGCGCCGAGCCTGTACGTCTCCACTCTGCTGGGTGGCAACGCGGGCATTGGGATGAAGCTATCCAATCTTGCCTTGGAAGACCTGACGGCCAAGGGGCTGGCCGATGCGCGTCTGAGGCGCCTGACTGTTAAGGCAACAATTGTCTTTTACCCATACCTCACTGTGGCGCTGCATTATCTGAGGCGGTGCATCCTCGAGGAGCGGTGGGATGGCGTGACCGCATTTGCACGGTGAGTGACATAGCAGAGGGCAGTCAACCACAGGATGTGTATGTGTGGATGTCGATCAGGTCGCTCTCGGACCAGTACAGCCAGCATTTTGTGGTGCTGATGGCCCGTCTCTCGTTCCGTCCGTTGGCGGCTCTGACGCATTGGTGCAAGGCGATGTCTTTCTTGGAATCATGTAATGTGGCCGAAACTCTCGCCGGCCTGTTTCATGACATGATCAAGGCCGACCAGAACTCCCCACATCACCGCAGCGACCTGCTCGGCTTCATCGGTGTTGTGGTGCCCCTGCTGAGCCCAAGCCAGAGAGATCAGTGTTTGGAGGCACTTGCTTGGAGGAAGCAGTGGGCAAGAAGGGCGATGGGACGCGAAATCGAAGCTCTGAAGGTGAGTCAGTCACCCCGACCGATGAAGAGAGACCAGACAGGCGAACTATGATGCTGTGTCGCAGTCGGGTTATCGTGCCGGTGAGCGGTCCAGACACCCAGCCCGCCATCGCATGTAAGACAACCAGGCGATGATTGATCCACCCACAAAGTGCTCCACCTCAACTGTGGTTATGTATGTGTGTGCGTGCGTGTGTGTGTTCAGTTTTGGTGGATGGTTTTCGCGGACGCCTCGCTGACCGGCGGCGGCACCCAAGACACTTCATGTGCAGCTGTATGTCAAAGTGTGAGTGAGTGATGCTTGACGGCTACTGTTATGTTTCGTGTTCGTACTCTCTCTGTTCGTTCATGTCTCGCGTCTGTCTGTCTGTTATCGTGACTTTCCTTGTGTTCTTTATACTGTTACTCATGTACACTGTAGCCCTTTGTCAGACCGGAACAGGTGGGTGCTTCTTTCCAATGAACCTGCCGCCTCACCGCAGCCACCTGAAACCCTGAAACCCCTCAAACCCCTCAAACCCAACCCCTTGGCTGCTTCGACGCCCATCAAATTGGGAACCATCTCATTTCGCTCACTGACGACCATGGCTGCCGCGTGCGATGAAGACTACATGGAGTCGCTGAAGAGGAAGCGCCTCGACAGCCACGAGCACCGAGAGTCGGCACTCTTCAGGCACCGGGTGACAGGTGTGAGTGCCTTCGACAGGCGTGGGAGGGGCGGGGAGGACGACGATGAGGAGGACGAGACAGAGGTCACCGGGGAGGGACTGCGCTTCATGGTGAGATGGGAGACCGAATCAGGCGATGGATGGTTCAAGGGTTGGTTGGCGCATTCATGGAGCCATGCATTCGTGTTGTGTATGCGGATGTGTGTGTGTGTGTGTGTGTGTGTGCAGATACTGTCGGATCCGATCAACGCTTGGGGCTACAGCATCGGACACCAGCTGTGGACCTCCTCAGAGGTATAGCATAGGCAGCCAAGACAGGCAGGCAGGCGCGGGCAGAAGCAAGACAGACGAAGACAGAGACTCTGCGTGAGGTCACACGCATTTCTTCCTTCTCGTTTGTCTCTGTCTGCCCCATGCACTAACTGCAGGTGCTGTATTCCTTTTTCCAGCAGTCGGGGGTGTACGACGCCTCTTACCTGAAGGGCAAGACCGTGGTGGAGCTGGGCTCCGGCCTCGGCCTGGCAGGCATGACCGCCGCCGCACTGGGGGCCAAACAAGTGGTCAGTCCGCCAGCCAGCCAGCCAGCCAGCCAGCATGTTGATTGAGATCGACAGGAATGTGTGTGTGTGACGCATGCATGAATCCTGTCTGTCAGATCTTCACCGATTTGCCCGAGGGTGTGGAGCTGCTGGAGCGCAATGTGTGGGAGAACTTCGCCGAGACGGACAAGGAAGAGGGCGGCCGTCGCGTCCTCCCGCCTCACCTCAAGGTGACTGACCCGACCCCATATATACGACAGCCGACAAAGGACACGGAGGCCATTAATGCGGCTGGTGCTGATTGATGTCAGGTGATGACTCTTCCCTGGGGCGACGGCGCGTCGATAGCTCGTGTGGAGAAGGCCCTGGACGTGGCCCCCTCCCTCACACAGAGGAAGGCGCCCGACGTCATCCTGGGCGGCGACCTGTGCTACGACGAGGACCACCATGAAGAACTACTGCAGACCATACTCACACTCAGGTGCGTGCCTCACCCATACACACACACACACATCCGTCGTATGCTCGTTCATTTCATTCAGCGGTCCTGAGACGGACGTGTTTCTGGCGCTTCCTGACCGGGAAGACCTGTACTCGTTCCTCGACGTGTGCCGCTTCCCGTACCCGGCCATCCCCCTACCCACCCTCGACCAGGACAATGAGGATGACAAAGCTGCACAGGACGATACGGGAGGGGGCAAGGTGTGCAGCAACCCACCCACTGGCAGGCCCCCGCCGCAGAAGGCGCGATCCCAACCGGCACCTTCTTACTCTCCTGATGATGCGGCCGCTGGTGGCGATGAGGGCACGATGGTGATGGGCGAGGGGGGGCTGCGTGAGGTGCACTGGGAGTGCCTCTGGACCTACTGGCACAAGAGCTTCGAGAACGCCGTCATACTCTTCAAGTGAGGGAGACATTGGGCAATTAGGCAGAGAGAGGGGAGAAGAGAGCGTCAGGGAGCCAGCCATTCATTGTGTGGGGTGTGTGTTGGTCGGTGTGTGTGTTGACGGGATGGGTGCTGTTCAGGGGCCGTGTCGTGCCTGTGTGCGGGAGTGTGGCGTCTGAGGATGAGGCCGTGTGACGCGACAAACACACCGACGGACGGCATGGCACCGACACACGATAGATGACCTACCTGGTCCGACTGCGATGCATGGACTGATGAATGGACTGATCGCACTCACTCTGCCGCCCCCACTGTCTCTTGGTTTTGTTCGTGGCACGCTTGATGGGTCGTGACACGAGAGGGAAGCAGGAGACAGTGGGGCGGTGCGGCAAGCCACTCGCCTGTCTGCGTCTGTATGTGTCGTGCAGACGGGCGGGCAGGCAGGCCTTTTCCGGCTGATCGATCAGTGCTGTTGTGTGTGTAGTGTGTGTAACACCTGGTGGTATGTGTGTGTATGTGGTCATGTGCTTCATGTCATTGACTGCGTTTGTGTTGGTTGTGAGGGTTCTACACTGTGCAGACAGAACAAAGGGGCTCGCCGGGCCGGGACATACAGCAAGCACTACAGCCACAAGGCAAACGACTTACAGCAAGCAGTTTGCCTGTCGCTAGTCAATGCTGCTTGCTGCATGTCGTTTGTCTTGTGGTGGCGTATGTGTTTGTTGTAGTCGCATTCGTTCAACATGGTCGGAAGGGTGATGGATTGGCGCATCGATCCGTCAGTCACACGCATTCTGTATTGTATATTCACATATATCTATCGTATATGGGTGGGTGCATCCGTGGGTGCGTACTGGATGGATGGATGGCCGGCCCTCCCTCTCTCTGTGTGCCTGACGGATGGATGGATGGATGGGCCGAGCCACATTTTTCTCCACACAACACCTACTGGTGCGTATGTGTGTATGGTCCTACCCATGTCGAACGAAACGAAGAGCATTCATTGTCTTTGTGCCTTCGTGTGCTGACTGTACCATAGCTAAGCCTGTGACCTACCCCCCCTCTCACTCTCTCTTGTGCAGTCTCTGTCTTTCCATGTGTGCGTGTCTGTCTGTCTGTCTATTTTTCTGCGCGCCTATGTGCGCAGCTGCTGCCGCAGAAATGCCTGCTGGCTGCATAAGCCGCTCACTTTCCTATTCCTTCCCCACACACCGACCGATATGTGTCAGTCAGGTCTCCCTCTTTTTTCACCTTGGTCAGATAATATATTGTTCTAAGCTCGGTGCGGTACAGGCAGCTGTGTGTGTGTGTGTGTATGTGTAATGAGTTGAGTGGATCGGGGAGGGAGGGGGGGAGGGAGGGAGGGAGACTTGCTGAGAAGAAGATCTCACGCGACGTGACGTGGTGCGCTCGTGTGTTGTGTGTTGTGTGGAGCACCTCTGCACCCACTGGCTGGCTGATTTGTCAACGAACACACGAATGAGACAGAGAAGAAAGCTCAAGTTGTAGCTCAAGCACAACACAACACACCACACCACACCACATCACACCAGGCAACGCAGTATAAGCCACAATCTCCACACACGTCAACACGCAAACACGCGCACGGAAAACGGCATAACACCATGTCCGTTCATCTAATTCAGCCAGCCTCTCCCTCCCTCTCTCTGTATCTCTTTCCCCGTCTGCGCCTCTCACTGCCCCACCAGCTGCAGATAAAGCAGTCAGTGTAGCAGCGGTAGGGACAACGGAAACACCGATAGACAGATGGATGGACAGACTCGGCCCACAAAAGTGTGAACCGATGTGAGCAGGCAAGCCAAGGGTGACTGAGATGGGGCGGCCCATCTGTCTATCCATCCGTCCATCCATCCATTCAATGGCATCAGTACTGGATTGCGAGACCAATGGCGGGCATCTGGCACAGGGGGCACTTGTAGGTGACCTTCGCCCCCTTCTTGATGTCTGGATTGGCCAAGAAGGGATACTTTCTCAGGGCGCACTTCTTGCACTGACAGACAACAAGTATTTCGCACCACACACACACACACACAGACACACAGATATGTGTCAATCGACCGGTGGGGCGTGTGTGTCTCTATTTTTCCTACATAGGCTATGCAGCTCCTGTGGGTAATCGCAGTAGGGGTGCCCCCAGGCGGCATCGAGGACGAGCTGGACGACGAGGCCGCAGCGGCAGCAGCAGCAGCGGCAGCAGCAGCGGGCGGGGCTCTAGATGAGGACGAGGATGAGTGTGGTGGAGGCTTCTTGACGTCGTCCTGGTGCACGAAGGCCACCTCCCGCTTGGCGTCCTTACACGCGACACACGTCTCCTCCATCTTATACCGCTCGAGCTCCGCTTCACGCCTCTGTCAGTCAGCGCACACAAACATACAGATGAGGGCCGGACGCACTCACGCCCGATTTGCTGGCTGGTGCCGTGTCTGATTGATTGCTTGCCCCGTATTCTTCGTTCTGCTCCTTCGCTTTTCTCTCACACTCGATGGTCTTGCGCTGCAGCTCGGCCTTGGTCCTCTGCCGACGGAGAATCCGCAGCTCACCCTGGATGTCCTCGCGCGCCCTATCGATGCTCTGCTTCCCCTCCTCCCCCTCCGTGAGGGCCTTCTGCATGAGATCGGTGATGCGATTGCTCTCGGACGACAGCTTGCCTTCCTGCGACTCGAGGGTGGCGACAGCATCCGTCAGGTGGGTGACGTGCTCCCCGAGCTCGGCCTCGTCGGGCTGCTCGGACAGGAGCGGTATCATGGCAGAGGCGCTGATTGATGGACGAAGGGAGGGACGCAGCAGCAAATATGAACCGACAGGCGGGCAGGTCATTCATCTTGTGTTGTGCTGTGTGTGTAGGTGGACGGACGAACCTCTGCACATGGAGGAGGCTTCGGTCAATAATGATGCGACCCATACACGCCTCCAGCCTGAATGAATGAATGAATGGACGGGCCAGCAAAAACACCACACACACACATACATACGGCGCTCAGCCAGGTCTGTCTTTTCTTCCTCACTGCAGTGTTCTCAATTCCATGGTTCGGAGGGCGGCCCTCAGTGCCGGCACGTCCTCCGTGTTGGCGTGAGCAGTCGTCTCTGGCAGGAACCGCAAAGCCTCCAGTTCCCGCTCCAGACGATCTACCTTGTCCTCCGCCTCACGCAACCTGCAGCCACGTCAGACGAGGGTGTGGGTGTGGTGTTGCAAAAACGGTTTTCTGTGTGTGGTCAGAGCACTCACCTTGCCCGTGTGCTCTCCAGCTCGTCCCTCACCTGCCAACTGCAGTCATCACATCATGGACCACACACATGAATGGCGCGTGGCGAAAGATGGAGGATGAGAGATTAGAGATGGAGCGCAGCTCCTTTCTTCTCTCTCCCTTCCCCTCCCTCCTGCGTGCCCCGTCACGTACACTTCGTCTGCGTCCATTGCCCCGTTGAACAAGCTCCCAGGTGATGCTGCATCCTGGGTTGAACCGAGCACAGTGGTCAGCGGGATCTTTCGTATTGGTTTTTGTGCTCCTCTTCACCTGGGGCATTGAATCCTCAGCTGTGTGTCCCTCCATCGTCCTGTACCTGCTCTTTGGTTTACAAATCGGACCGCAAGCTCAAGCGCGAGCTTGACACCCAGAGGGCTTCAGTCAATCTCAGGCGTTGGTAGAATAGCATTCTGTGTGTGTGAGGATGTCTTCACGGGGCCGTGGTCGAAGCCGAGGAGGGAGGCGGAGAGAGGCGCCCGCCGCTACAAATGCTGCTGGGCATGATGGTTACACTTTCTATGATGTGAGCAGCAAGCACTCACTGCTAGCATCTGTCTGTGGCCGGGCCGGCAACAGACATCCCTTCCCTATCCCTTCCGCTTCTCCCTCTGTCTGTCCAGGCGGGAGGCCCCTCTAGCGATGACGATGGGATGCCGTCACTCGTGGAGGATAGTGACGCCATCACGGTCGGCCGGCCACAAGACACACACACATACACACGCAGCCCTCGCCACACGCATCTGTGCTTGTGCGTCGTCATCATCTTTTCAGGCACTGTCAGCGCCACCCGACCCCGCTGGCCGCAACGAGAGGAGCACAGGGGCAGCCGCAGCAGCAGCCGCAGCATCCGACGGCGGCATGCCCGGCCTGGTGCCATCCCCCGACATGGTCTCCTCACCCGGCTCGCCCGAGGAGGAGTCGAACGTCGATGGCTGGCGAGGCAATGCTGCCGTTCGGAGCACCTCACATGCGTCTACACAGCGGGAGGGCAGCCAGGGGTCGGTGGCGTCCACTCATCGAGGTGACAGCCCACCAGCGGCCGTGGCGGCCCGCAGCAGCGGCCCGAGGGCTACCGCCACTCAGTCGCAATCGCAAAGGCCGCAGGGGTTATTCGGTAAGGCACAACACAACACAACACACCTCTTGCGTGCCCATGCACCTCCCTCCCTCCCTCCGTGTATGTTAGGCAACATCCCTCTTCGCAGTTTAGCGACGCCTTCGGGTTTCAGTCTCAATCTTCGTGGAATAGCGTCGGGTCTGGGGACTGCTCGCGATGCACAGCCACCACCGGGGCAGGAGCCCTCCACCAGCAGCAGCGCAGCAGCTGCGGATGCGGGTGGTGGGATAGGCCCGTTGAGGGGCCAGTTCGCCAGCGCCGTCCAGATGGGTGCCCTCGACCCCCAATACCGCCGGTTCAGCGGCCAAGCGGGCGGCGACGGCCTTGTCGACTTCCATGACGACTACGACGACGACGATGATGACGACGATGACATTGTGGATGTGGAGTCCGACGGGTCGCAAGACTCCCTGCCGCCCCTCGCCGGTCCAGAGGACGACGCACCGCCCCCGCCACTCGGGCACGACTTCACGTTCGGAAGCGGCCCTGCGGGGATGCCGAACCCGTTCTTCGGCATGATGGCTGGCGGGCAGGTGGTCACGGGCGGCGCGGGGGGCGGCGGAAGGGCGACGGGGAGAGGGAGGGGTCAGGCGAGCTCGGCCAGCAGCCGCGGTGGTGGTGGTGGTTGTGGTGGAAGCAGTAGTGGTGCACCGGCAGCCGCAGCGGCCCGCAGCGAGAGTGCATATGAGCAGGAGATGTAAGTCAGGAGGGAGGGAGGGAGGGGTGACTCGACAGACCATCCTCAGTGTTGTGTCATCTTGCGTGTTGTGTTGTGTGTGATGCATGCCATGCAGTCGTGAGACGAGGGAGCGGCTGGGCCACTGTTTGGCGAAGCTGGAGGCCGAGGTGGAGGCCAAGGAGGAGCTCCAGCAAGAGAACGACAACCACAAGCGCCACAAGAAAGAGATGCAGGAGGAACTCAACGAACGAAAACGGTACACACACACACTACACACACGCACACACACACACACACAGGCACACTCCCTCCCTCCTCGCTCTCTGTGGTGTGGTGTGGTCATTTCTTTCAGGCGTGAGGAGAGGTTTGAGCAGGAGCGCGCCCAGTGGGACCAGGAGCGGGCCAAGTTGCAGCAGGAGCTGCGTGACGCCAAGAGGGGGCCTTCCTCAGCCGCGGCGGCTGCGGCTGCATCAGCAGCGCCTGCAGCAGCTGCAGCGGCTGCCACGCACAGGTGATCAAAACGACACACACACACACGCATGCCACACAGGCGGCCATGTGTGTGTGTGTGTGTCTGTGTGTGTAGGTTGGAGGTCGAGGTGGAGCGGCTCAACGAGGAGATGAGAAAGAAGAACCAGAAGATCGAAAACCAGAAGAACCACATCACGAACGTGGAGGCCAGGTGGGTGGGCGGAGGCACGCGCAACGCAACAGACACACACAGCACAGCACAGCAAAGGCCACACACTTGGATGGATGGATGGATGCGTGCATGTGTGGATGTGTGTGTGTGTGTGTGTGTGTGTGCAGTCACAAGGCAAAGGTCGAGGGTTTGGAGAAGAGTGTCCAGGACCTGAGGGCCAAGGAGAGGGCGGCCAACGTCAGTCTATCAGCCAGACAGCATACCATACACAGACGCAATTTTGTCATTGGTTGTCTCTGTCTGTGTGTCCGTCGGTCTGTCTGTCTGTGTGTCTGTGTGTCTGTCTGTGTCTGTCTGTGCAGGAGGCCAAGCGAGCAGCGGAGCGTGACCGTGACAGGGCGAGGGGCGAAATGGCCGCAATCGACCGTGTGCGAGACGAGTGAGCAGCACACATACACACACATCCACCCAGACCCCACCCACCACTTGTCTGCGTGTGTCTGCCTGTGGGCAGGTTGCGGGTCGAGAGGGACCGCGTCCAGACCCTCAACGAGGAGCTGCAGACCACCCGGCAGCAGCGGGATGACATGCAGCAGCAGCGCGACACGTAACTGGACGGACGGGACGACACAGCAATACCACAGAGAGATTGACAGACTATCACATCTGATCTATCAGGGCACGTAACGAGACGGAGGCCGTTCGAACCGAGAAGGACACCGAGAGGGACGAACTTCGCGGGCGGCTGCAGCGCCAGATCGAGCAGCTGGAGCTGGAGCTCGCCAAGGCCAAGTCCGCCACTGAGGCCGCAGAGAACGAGAAAGCCGCCCTCAACGCCGATATGGAGCGACGCGAGCAGCAAATCGGGCAGCTGGAGAAACGGTGGGCGGGGAGCACAAAGCGCATGGGCGAGGTCATCTCTGTGTTGGTGTTGGTCGCCGTTCAGGCTGGAGGAGGAGAGCCGTCACAAGGCCACGCTACATCAGCTGCAGCGCCAGCACAGACAGACGTGAGCAAAGGACCACCGTCATGGGATGGATGTGGTGCTGCACACCGCGACATCCATGGCCCTTCTGTGTGTGTGTGTGTGGATGCAGTTTGGAGGAGAACAGGCGCATGGTGTCGCGCACGGAGCAGCTGGAGCAGGCCGTGGCGGCCATGCAGAAGACGCCCGTGTCCGACGCACACACCCACAGCGACGACCCCGCCACACTCAAGGCCGCACTCAAGCAAATGGAGCAAGACAGAAACCGGTCACACACACACACACAGCACATGGCTCATCGCTGCACATGGGTCTCTGGATGTGTGTGTGTGGTGTGTTGGGTGTGTTGGGTGTGTTGTGTGTCGATGAATGCTGCAGGCTCGAGAGCGACCAGCGTAGCGAGATCAAGCAGGGGTACCAGCAGCTGCAGAAGAGCATCCGGGAGATCCGGCGGCTGAGAGAGGAGCTCAAGAGGGCCAAGGCCAACCCACACGGCATCGCATTCCCCACCGAGATCGAGCAGCAACACCTCCTACAAGTCAATCGGTGAGCCATTGAGCCGTTGAGCCACGTACCCCACCCCACACCACCACACCATCACGCCACAGAGCCACACGAATGTTCGGTTCTGTCGGCTGCGTTTGTGTGATCAATCAGGGTGCCCGACCTGCCCGACGACATGCAACAGCATGAGGACTACGCGAGGGATCTCCACCGCGCCAGGCAGACCCTCCGCGAGCAAGAGCAACGTCTCGCGGCTGAGAAGGCCCGCATCGACGAGGGCATGCAGGCCGCCATGCGAAACATGCGGGCGGCCATGGGACGCGCGGCCGAGTGCAGGCAGCGCATCGACAAGGCCCTCAAGGGGGTGCGTGACGAGCAGGGCCGTGCTGAGGAGCTGGAGGAGCAGGTGCAGTGGGAGATGGATCATGCAGCCTACAGGATGAGCGAGCCGGACAGGCAGAGGGAACTCAAGGTACGTGACCACACTCTCTCGGACACACACACACACACAGACTATTTCCCCGGACGCCTTGATTGCCAATCCTTCTGTCCCTCTCTCTCTGTTCTGTGTGTGGTTCTCGTGTGTATGTGTGCGACGTCACCTCAGGAGGTCACAGAGAAGGTGGAGGCGAAAGAGAAAGAGAGAGAGTGTATTGCCTGTTATGAGAGCCCCAAGAAGGTGGCCTTCGTTTACAGCCCCATCGACAACTACCCGGCCCATCTCAAGAACTACGAGAAGGAGCAGGAGGACCTCAGGCGCAGGAAGGAGGAACAACGCAAAAGGGACGAAGAGAACAGGAGGAGGAACGGGCCACCGGCTGCTGCTGCTGCTGCTGCTGCGGCCTCGTCGAGCTCGTATGAACCGATGTCGCTGACGCCTGCGCCCTCCCGCCCGACAGACGGTTTCTGGCGCAGCTGCCTCCTCCTGGTA